CATTTATTTAAATAAAAAAATAAAATATAATACAAATTAAATTACATAACAGTACACAACTGCTTTGACATTACTGTTACTTTATATTAATTCTTACAATTAATACAAAGTAACCATCTGGCTGACTCATCACTTAACCTATTTCTATGTTTTCTAATTACTAATGATGCTTTAGAAAATAATCTCTCAGCAGGTACTGAAGTTGCAGGTATTGAAAGAAAATCACGGGCCATCTTCGATAAAGTCGGATATTCTGTCTCATGCGTCCTCCACCACTCTAAAATGTCTTCCGAACTGGCTGCTCTGGGTTTACTCAGGTACTCCTCCAACTCGTCTATAACTAAGCCTTGATGAAAAGATCCAGATCCAGATGACGTCGAGGGACATGAGAGGCACATACAATTTCTCAAAGTCTGTTACGTCTTCATCTTCATCATTATTCACATACTTTCTTTTCATTTCTTGGTGACTCTAGAGATGTATTCACTGAGTGTAGACTTTTATATTCTTTATAAAGTTCATTAAATTTGCGCAGGCTTTCTGTTTTAATTTGCTTCCCCCATAATGTCATGTCAAAAGTCTGAGTCTTATGCCTTGGGTCTAAAATTAAAGAGGTACAATAAATTCAGTTGCTCTTTTTATAATGTTTGAGCATTTTGTCTCGAGCTGCTTGAAAACCCAGAATGAGCCTTTCATCCACTTCGGATCGAATAGGTTTCTCATCTAATTGTTTTACCATGGATTCAATTTTATCGAGCAAGAGATTGAATGATACAATGACTAGCGGTAATGTAACATATTTTTCTCCACCAAATTTCGTTGATAGAAGTTTAAAGTTTATTAGAAACTTATGTATTTTTCGAGTATTTGCCAATCACTATCTGTAATTTGAAAAGCATTCAATTCGGTGACAGAAGTGCATTATGTTAATGCCAGTTCTCACTTTTAAACCAAATCCAATCATATCATGTGTGGAATTCCATCTAGTTGGACAGTCGAGTATGGGGTTCAGATTTGATGGCACGCCAGCTGCTTCACAAGCAGACTGAAACTTCCTCTTCAATATCTCACTTCTTTTTATTTTACTGGAAATACTGCGTAATTTTGTTATAGCTTTACGTGAGTCAGCAATATTTGGCGCATATTCTTCATCTTCCTCAGTTGCGTCTTCATTATCTTCATACTTCTGTTCTTGTCCCTTATTGTCAGTTTCACTGTGTAATTCTAAGGTCTTTAATAAATCTTGTACACCAAGGTTCAAAGTGTGGCAGCTGTTTGATTTAATTTGGTATTGAGGAGGAAGTGTTTTATATTATTTATATTTATAATGAATAGTACCGTATAACTCTACCAGAGTCATCATGGTAAATGAAATTTGATGAAAATTTGTATTTTCAAATGAGAGTTTCTTCTTAAGTGTGGACCTTTTAGGAATTTGGCAAATCGATCGAAAATATACTTGTGTAGCTTCCTCATCGAAAAATGAGAAGGGAAGATATTTTTTAACCATCCAATCAACTGTAGCCGTCGTGATGTTGTCACTGCTGTTTTCGGACTGAAATAAAACAGTAAATCATGTGTCTCGCCGATTATAAAAACAAATGAAAATATGAGTGAATTATAAATACATATTTAACACTATAATATATATATATATATATATATATATATATATATATATATATATATATATATATATATATATATATATATAACGTAATTAACGCACACCCTCAGACACCCCAATCAGTATATTATGTTATAATCATAATACATACACTGAATTTTTAGTTAAACATTTTTATGCACTGATTATTTATCAAATTAGTTATACTAATTCCGGAAGAATGTTGTGGTCACAGTACAAATTCACGAACGCAAAGACTTTAACGTGCTTGAAATAAAGTTCATTTTTCTTTATTTTTATTGAATGACAGAATTGGTAATAATACAAATAAAACTGCACTCTTAAAAGTCTTATTGCCTTAAGTTACGGTCCATTTCAATTTGTTTTGACTGTACAAATTAAGTGTGGCTGTAATTTACGTAGTTTTAATTATTTTTGGGATAAAAAATTACCTATATTAAAAGTGATAGGAATCGATTCAGTAAACGATTATGAACAAACTACTTTCTCAAAGTGCGTTAATTATGTTACGTGTTGTGTATATATATATATATATATATATATATATATATATATATATATATATATAAATACCACTCATGACTTTTTTGACTATAACGATATCTCAGGAACTATAAAACATACAAACTTGAAGTTTGTAAGGTAGGTTCCTTTTATGGCATAGAGATCAGTTAAGAAACGGTTTTGTGAAAATCTATCCCTAAGGGAGTGAAATGGGAGTTGGAAGTTTTTATGACAGTCCTACGTGTTTGAAGTTAGAGACACGAAAATCGGCATTAAAGTTATAAGTTTTGAATAATAAAATCCTGAACAAGCTGTTTTACGAAACCCTAACCCTAAGGGGGTGAAATGGTTACATGCAAGTCCTATATTTTTAAAGTATAGATATGAAGATCGACATTTACTTTATTAGTTTTAAATAATAAATACTTGCATAGTTTTTTCAAGCTTTACCTATATAGCCTCTTTATACTTAGGTAAGACTTTTGCAGCGAGAAAATTTCAAAATCTCATAGGAAATCAGATATTGTACGCGGACGAAGTCGCAGGCGGCCGCTAGTTACATAATATATGTGTTATGTAATTGTGTGATAAGTATATTTTTTCTTACCTGTCCACTTTTTCCGGTGGTTATTAAAAAACTTGTGATATCTCCACTTAATTTTGGTTTTTCAGGAAGAAATATTTGTGATTCCTTTTTGTGGAAAGATATTAGATGCTTCCTTAAGCCTGAAGTGTTTCTGTTTTTCATTTTTATTTCAACCTTTTTATGTTGGCACAATTTACACAAAGCAATTTGGGATGCACGAATTATGGCGAAAAACTCATCGAATTTACTTTTAGGTCTTTTAGATCTATAACTCCAACTCTCACTACTCCAACTAGAACTATTCGACTCTTCGTCACTCATGTCAAATTGTAAACTTATCACTCCGAGAACAACAAGGATTAGAGTAAAAACAATTAATACATTAGACTCGAAGCAAAGCTCAATTGGAAATGACTGGAATTAAAATAAATACTACTATTTGTAAGTACACGCCGAAAGACCGACAAAGGAAAGTTCGGCATCCTTTGATAAAATTAATGATTCTTCAGAAGATTAATAAAGTAGATGCGTTGCCAGATAGGTATAGTGTGCCTACGTAAAAATGAAATGTAAATATGTAAATAAAATTGTGTATATTATGTTCTTCTTGTGATTGAATTAATCTACGTTAATTAAATTAAATTGCCTTCACTCGTTTGAAATTCAAAATTCAAATCTGTTTTATTCAAGTAGGCTTAAAAAATACACTTTTGAATAGTCATATAATCACTGTTTTCCCCAATTTTTTCTTTTCCATGTCCAGGGGTTCTGATTCTACTGAGAAGAATCATGGAAGAAAGTAAGAAACTCAGTAGTTGCTCTTTTCAAAATATTTTTACAACAGTTCTATAATTATGTAAAGCGATAAGTCAAACATAAAATGTCAAATGTATTTGTAGATACTTAATCGGTTTAGAAATTTCCCGTTCCTGTGTAGTACGAGAGGTCAGTTCCAAGCATTTTGTCTGACTTAAATTGAAAAGGTGAAAGATCTAACATTTCTTTTGGAATCTTATTATAAAAGCGTATATCGCTACCCAAGAACGCATTATATACTTTGTGTAACCGGAAAGCAGGTATTGTGATTTTATTTTTATTTCTACTATTAAAATTGTCCAAATCACTATTATTTACATCAATTCGATGCAATCAATTTCTTTAAACGGTTCTCTAAGAGATACTCGGGCTCCTAAAAAGTACATAGATCTTATTTTACGCTTTTTATTTAATATGCACACTTTTTATATTATTCGATTAGCATTGTACAAAATGTTTACACGTTTCAAGTGTGTTAAAAGTGTCTACAATATTTATCAAATGGGTGACGACATATTCGAACACTTTGCGTTCAAAAACACACACGTCCAAAAATCGAGATTTGCAGTGAACTTATTGAACATGTTTATCTATTAGGTAATAATAATAATAGTAAGTAATTATTATAAACCCATATAGTTAATATCATAATAATTACTTACTAGAATAAATTATTATGGTATCTACCTATCCTTACCATTATCTAATTATTCGTGCAGCATCAGATCAGCATAATGTATTCGTGTCCATTCTGAGCACTCGGAAACTTATTTTATTCTTTGGAACATATACTCTGTGGCGGCATTCAAACAGTGTCAAATGTAGTGCGTGCGGCACGGCGGCGACGATTGAATGCGATATTAGACATGTTTTAATCATGCATGATTCGTTCGTTTGAGCTGGTACACTTAAAAGCATTGATGGTTCATTCATTTGTTTTTGAATGTACCAGTACAAGCAATCACAAACAATTGACTGCACCTTTTTAACCCGCGAATACAATATTATCGTAGATTTTCGGCGTTGTTCAATTTATTACCCACCGTTTAAAACTAATTTATTCAAAAATATTTTATTTATTTTGATAAAACACATCAATCGTATAAAATAGAAATTAACTTCTAAAGGAAGGAAAATACTTAACCCTCCTTTTTTGAAGTTCTCTAATCGGATAAAAAGTAGCCTATAAGTAGCCTCGGGTCCCTAACTAACTATACACAAAATTTCATGTAAATCTGTATAGTAGTTTTTGCGTGAATCTTTAATACACAGACAGACAAAAATTCTAAAAACCACTTATTTGGCTTCAGTGCCCTTTATTTAGATGCCTGGACTTATTTTTTCCAGAAAATATTAGAATTACAGACACGACTATTCTACAGATTTATTATCTGTATAGAGGATTAAGCAAAGTATTTAAAAAAAACTCCATAGGTAACACAATCATCAAATGCTATTTATTCTTAATAGATTTTCGTGGAATTGATTCTGTAGAGTTTCTCTTGATTCTTTTGAAACTTTAAATATCGGGCCATGTCCAGGTATGATCCAGTCTGCAATATCTGCAATTTTTGACCTATTTCTAAATTGCATACTTTGATTTTCACTTCCTGCTTCTAACCATATATTTGAATCTTCTATATCTTCATATTTTTCAAATAAGTCACCTGAAATGTGTGCCAAAATAATTGAAGTAACATGTACTACGTACTAGAATAGACACCAAGATTTGTTTGTTTGTAACAGGAGTTATGGACGCCACACGCGGTCAGTTCAACTAATCATTCCAACTGATCAGTTCAAACTAACACTGTTGATATTTTTTAAAATATCGGATTTTTAATATATCGATAAATAAACTTATATATAAAACTCCAATATTGATATATTTATAATTATCGATATATCGCTTGCCAGGCGCTTACCGTAACGTGACACGTTTGAAGTTGTCCTCCAACGCGTCAAGTTGTTCACATAAGTACATATTATAAGCCTAATAAAAACGCCTCTATACATTGACACGTTTCGGGAAATTTATAAATTACCTAACTAAAAATTTATTAAATAACTTCATCCTTCAAAAGCAATATTTCAGAAAAGTGATTGCAACGAAATACGAAGTACCATAAGCCAATAAAACAATATCCGATACAAAATAACTATTACCTTATAAGATTGTTCTTAAGCAATTGATCAAGTCAAAGCTCAGTATAATTATTAATAAAAAATGAATAAAACAGGTTAATAAATCACAATAAAATTGATCACGATAATGACATCGAAAATTAAATTACCGATTGAAGACAATTCACTAAACACGACAAAAGACAGGCACTTCTGAAATTCGAGTATTTTTATTTTCGGCTGAAAGACCATTCGTCTTTTTGTTGTTTCGCAATTAAAATTTTCGGAATTGAGTTATTACTGCTAAATAAGCCTAATAACTTTAAAAGTTTAGACGTTATCTAACTTCGACATTTTTTTCGAATGTTTATTTTTTGGCGAAATAAAATTCATGACAATCATTGTCCGCAATTTTTAAAATATGGAATTTCAACCTTCGAATATAGTTCATAAAAGCACAGTAATTTTATCTATACAGTATTGTAACACTGCCGTATCTTTGAAATAAATGCCTACAGCCGCGCGGTACTTAAACATACGATAGGGCTGCCTGCCTCCAGCAATTTTACATTTGCCTAATTTGTGTTTCCATTTAGTTTTATGATTGTAAATATACTTATACTTTTTTATATATACAAATATAATAGGTACTTCGTGAATTGAATAGGAGGTGTTCAATAAAAATGCGTGTCGTTTTTTTATTGGTAGATTTAATTAAAAAACCATGTTTATGTTTGAATAACAAATCGGACTTTTGAATTTGCGACCGGAAAATATTTGCGCACATTTGCTTGAGACGCACGAAATGCTTTATTATTAAATTGTTAAGTATAAAAAATCCGCATTCTAATATAAAGCTTAATTAAAAATTGTTTTGGCACATGGAACATGGACAAGGTGGAGAAAAGGAATATCTTTTACTCGGTTATAGAGGTATCTATATCCTATAACCAAGTAAAAGATATTTTACAATTTATATGTTTGGTTTTAAATGAAGTTCGGATTTATTATTTATTTATTTCTATTCTTTATTTATTTCCTCCATTTTTTTATATATTCCACAAAATCATCACTGCGGCATAGTCACGACTCACGACTGTCTGCATGCCGAGCGAATGCCGAGATCGAGGCGCGTAGGCATAGCTCTCGCTTCGTCCGTTTGTATGAAGTTGGAATACTGTATAGATAAAATTACCGTGATAAAAGATAGCTTGATCTCTGCGACAGCTATCAGTAAAAATCACGCCTATGAAGTCCTGAATTTCTTAGTAGTACAGACAGTACCTGTCAATGTCATACTTTATGGGCATGCACTAATTAGGTCGGCATGCCCATAAAGTATGACATTGACAGGTACTGACTGTACTACTAAGAAATTGAGGACTTCTAGGCGTGATTTTTACTGACAGCTGTCGCAGAGATCAAGCTATCTTTTATGAACTATAGTTGGTTATTTCGGAACCTCGTGACTCTGACTTTTTAATGGCAAGCCAAAACATCGTTTACAAAATCGTTCATAAAAAATTGACGTATCGTTTGCATCCCTAGCTCGAGCATCGAATAAGCGCCCCAACTGCCCATAGTATTGTTGCGCGCCTAAGTTGACGTCATGTACCCGGCACTAGCGCCATCTAGTGTCGGGGACGAGAGCGACGGGAGATTTCCAGAAAATGACATCACTAATCTTTCAACCGACAGCGCCATCTAGTATCGAAACGAATAACTAAGCTTCTAGAAGCCCGACACTCGAACTTTCGACGCCTAGTCGATTAGCGCGCGTATTTACTTGAATATTCTGGATGTTTCGTTGATAATGTTTAAAGGCGCTGCAAGATTCGATCGGGGAAGTATTGAATTTGGCGAGACAAGCGAAGCTTCAGAGCGGAATAAAGTGAATGTGTGATTAATTAGTGTTTTAACTTTAATTAGTGTAAAGTGAATTAAAGTGTTAATTTTGGTAATTCAATCGGCAGTTTTTATCGTCACGAACCTCAAGCTCGTAACAGTATTATTACACTGCACGGTGGTAAGCGCACTGTAGACAGGGTCCACTTTGACATCCTAATTAGGGACCCTTCTTCCCTTACCCTTATTACACCACTCTCATTAAGGGCTTAGGGACCCTGATTCGGTGTATTGTAATAAAGGTATGAGGCCGTAACATTCTAAAAGTATCTGTTGTGGTTCAGTTTTTATCTATGTAATGCACTTTTATTACAATATAAATATATAGGTATAGATATAAATATATAGTATAGATAAGTCGCTCGCGTCCGTAGGCTTTAACCACCTATTCCTAGGCCCACCCTACACGTGTCCCCCGGGTGGTGCTAAATGAGCGACAAGCCGATAGCACAGACTTGGCTCCACGCCGTGGTAGAGGCGTAAAATATCTTACCCTTTATCCGCACCATGAGGAACCATGTAAAAGAAATGGCCCCGAGTTCCCGGCGCCCCTTTAATGGGGCAGGGGTGCGAAGAATCTCCGGGAGGAAAACCGGCGACGAGGTTCGCCACCCGTCACGTTCTGTCTCCCGGAGAGGCGAAAAGTGGATTGCAGAGGCCCGTCTGGCTACGTTGAATGTATGTGGGGCAATGAATGATAAAATGGATGAAGTATGCGATATGATGTATGATAGAGGAATAGATGTGTTATGTGTAAATGAGACGAAAAGGAAGGGGAAGGATGTCACTACACATGGCATGTATACCGCATACTGGTCTGGTGTAGACGAGATCGAGCGGGCATGCCAGGGAGTAGGTATCATCCTTTCAGAAAGAATGGGCCAATGTGTGAAAGAGTATGAATGTGTAAGCCCAAGACTGCTATGGATACGAATGAAAGTGGGCTTAAAGAAGTTATTTGTGTTAGGGATCTACGCCCCAGACATGTCTAAGCCCACTTATATCCGAGAGCAGTTTTGGGAAATGGTAAGGATGGTGTTAATGAAGTGTAAGGGAAATGAAAATATTATTATGCTAGGAGATTTTAATGGAAGGGTTGGGGTGAGGAAGCTTGGTTATGAAAGAATATTGGGAACGTTTGGTGATGAAAGTATAAATGAGAATGGTGAAAGTCTTCTCACCGTATGTATGGAAAAGAATCTTTTTGTGACGAACACTTGCTTTCGCCACAAGAGGATTCACATGTATACTTGGGAAAGAGGTGACGATAGAAGCATGATAGATTTAATAATTGTGGATGAAAGATTGAGGGGCGCAGTGGTGGATACAAGGGTTTACCGGGGTTCTAACGTAGGAACGGATCATTATTTGGTTTTATGCCGAATTAATGGTCTATTCAGGCGTTGGCGCCATCGATCATCTGTGTCTACCACTGCGTTACAGCGTATTAGAACAGAAAGGTTACAAGATGAAGGTGAGAAAAACAAGTTCAAATGTAGACTGAAAGAAAATATAAGTGGTTTGGATGAATTATGTATGAAGGAGTTAGACTTGGAGAATGTATGGCAAAATGTAAAGAAAGGTTTAGTGGATGCAGCTACCGAAGTATGTGGTGTTAGTAAGAGAAAGAATGAAAGGAAAAATAATACGTTATGGTGGGATGATAAGGTACGTATGGAAGTTGAAGCAAAGAAGAGAGCATGGCTAGATTTACTAGCAACAAAGGCTGGTAATTCTAGCGGTACGGATATTGCGGATATTGAAAGAAAAAGGGCAGTCTTTAGACATCTTAATAAGAGAGTAAAAGAAGTAGTTGAAAGAAAAAAGCAAGAAAGAACGGATAAGAATGATAGAAGAATATCGGATAATTTCCAGGCAAATATTAAAATGTTCTGGAAACTTGTAAGAACTGCCAGGGGACATTCGAAACAGCCTATGATGAATGCTATAAGAGACGAGAATGGCTATATTCTGAATGATGAAGTTTTGAGTTTAAAGAGATGGAAGGAATATTTTGAAAGCGTGTTTATGAGTGAGGAGACAACGTGTGTACTAAGTGAAGTAGAAATTCCGAAAGAAGAGGAAAGAGGTAGCGAGATAAGTATAGGTGAAATAATGAAAGCAATGAAAAGCATGAAAGCAGGTAAGGCTGCTGGATATGATAGAGTTTCACTCGAAATGCTAAGGGCTGGAGAGGAAGTGGTGGCAGGCCTGCTGCACACCTTGTTTAATTTATGCTGGGAACTGAAGCGGGTACCGGTAGACTGGTGCAAAGCCGTGATAGTCCCAGTATATAAGGGAAAAGGGTCGCAGCAGGACTGTAAAAACTACCGTGGCATCAGCCTTCTTAGCATTGTGGGAAAACTGTATGCTAAGGTACTGATTGAAAGGGTCATGAAAGAAACTGATGGAAAAATTTGGGATGTGCAAGCGGGATTTAGAAAGGGAATGGGATGTACAGATCAAGTCTTTTCCATGCGCATGATCGCGGAGAAGTTTTTGGCCAAAAACCAAAAGGTTTTTTGTGCGTTCATGAACTTGGAAAAGGCCTATGACAGAGTGAATAGGGATGTGCTATGGCAAACACTGAAGTCATTTGGGTTGGGCGCTGGCTTGATACAGGCATTGGAGTCCCTTTATAGGGACTCTAGTGCTTGTGTTAGGATCAACGGGGTCTACTCGGACTGGTTTGACATCCATAAAGGTGTCAGACAGGGCTGTGTGGCTTCCCCGTGGCTGTTCAACCTATTTATGGACAGTTGTTTGCAAAATTTGAAAGTTGAAGAATGCGGATTAAGAATGGGTGAGTTAACCGTCAAATGCCTTTTGTACGCCGATGATCAAGTTATCCTTGCGTCGTCGGCGGCCGAGTTGCAAATGATGGTTACATTAATGAACAGATCATTAAAAGAAAGGGGTATGAAAGTGAACGCAAGTAAGACGAAGGTTATGGTTTTTGAAAGAGAAGAAAGTAAAACGATTTGTGAAATAAGAATAGAAGGGGAGTTGATCGAGCAAGTAGATGAAATTGTATATTTGGGCCGCGTATTTAGCAGGGATGGGAGATACGATAAGGATATAGAACGACGAGTGAATGCGGGAAATAGAGTAAATGGGGCCCTGCACTCTATTGTGAAGAGTCAAAATGTGTCGAAAAAGGCACGTATGGCAATTCACAATGCTGTGTTGGTCCCTACTTTAACGTATGGTAGTGAAAGTTGGGTGTGGCAGAAGAAGCACGAGAGTAGAATGAACGCAGTAGAAATGCGGTCGTTAAGGAGTATGTTAGGGCTGAATCTTAATGACAGGGTAAGAAATTGTGTAATAAGAGAAGAGTGTGGTTTGCAAGATGATGTTGTGACCAGGATTAAGAAAGGAATGCTTCGGTGGTTTGGTCATGTGGAAAGAATGAATGAGGAAAGAGTGACAAAGAAAATTTATGTTGCAGAAGTGAATGGCAGAGTCGGAAAGGGACGTCCTAGGCGAAAATTTATCGACCAAATTGACGATTTATTGAAAACGGGCCAAATTAGGAGTACCCTTAACCGACGAGCATGTATGCGGAGGTGTATGGATGTGAAGGAGGCGAGAGAGGTGTGTCAGGATCGTGCCAAATGGAAGTCTGTAGTCTCTGCCTACCCCTCTGGGTGACAGGCGTGAGTGTTTATGTATTATGTATGTAAATATATTCAGTCTGGAACGATGTACAACAATCAGTCGTCAAACAAACACTGCTAGCGGCAAGAAAAACTCTGGTCTGGACACTTAAAATGGTCCGGTACAATGCCCGGATCATAGCAGAAGATATATTTTTAGCAGGGATGTGAGATGTGATAAGGATATAGAAAGACGAGTGAACGCAGGAAATAATTATTATTTACGTACACACACACAAAATCAAATCAAATCTTGATCAAATTTATATGGGACCATATGAGAAGCAGCAATGTTCAAATAAATAAAGAATCATCAAAATCGGTTCACCTAGAAAAAGTTTTCATCCTCGCGATCAATGAGACATCATTGAACAGTTGCCATCTGATTGTCACATTGAAGCCACTTCTGGAAGAAAAAGTTCATCATAATGAGTCCCTCTTTCTCCATCTTGTCAGTCCCTTGGGTTTCATTGCCCTATCCTGAATTTCACTACCTTTAGCTCACCACTCTCTTGTCTAGTTAGTGTAGTTTTTAATTGAAACTCAGTCTGAATGAAAATAGAATGGCTCTCCAGCACCTTAAAAATAGCAAGGACCCGGGCTAGGATTGAATTATAGCGGAGCTGTGAAAAACCAGTACTTCAAGTACCACAAGCCTCCAGAAGCTCCTTAATTCCATTCTCCATTGTGGCACTACTCTGGAGGCATGGAGCAGTAGTGCGGTAGTCTTGTGCTTCAAAAAAGGCGACAACACTCTCTTGAAGAACTAACGGATTTCCCTTCTGAACTGCGACTACGAGCTGTTTTCGAAAGTCATTACGAATCGCAATAGGGCAAGGCTTTTGCACCATTGACCACTACATACCCTTCGGCAAATTGTACAAAAGTTCGGAGGGTACAATCTGCCACTTTAGGGTACTTAAATTTAAGCAATGCTGCAGTTCCTTCAGCGGTGCCAAGTTGACTGTCGATATATATCGAATTGCTGAAGTGTTTGTACAGTAGGGCTACGATCGCTATTTGTGTACAAACTAGAGTATTAAACCTATCCAACTACAAAAAGGTGTAAGACAGGGTGACTATAAATCTCCGAACTCTTCACTGCTGCATTGGAAGACAGTAGCCTAATGCAGTATAAGAGCGACAGTAGCCTAATGGCAGGGCGCGGACCGCGAACTCGAAAAGGTTGTGTGTTCGAATCCACCATTCGACTACTGGCGTGAACTACTCGTAACACAAGCAATTTAAGCTTACCACAAGTGGTTAAGGGGAATATTAGTAATGTTTATAGCATTGTTAATATTCTTAAAAAAAAAAAAAAGATGTATTCAAGATACTGGACTGGAAAGAATGTGGTATTATCATCAATGGTGAGTATACTCAATATACTTAAAAGTATCACCCAATGGATAGGTCTTAAGATGAACATGGACAGAGCTAAAATCAGTGTAATACTCGAAGTTGTTGAGGAGTATGTTTACCTGGGACAAATAGTTTGACTAGGTAAGTCCAACTTTGACCATGAGGTCAATTGACGGGTTCTACTTGGCTGGGCAGCTTGTGGGAGAGAACGACACATTTCATCAGGCATACCTCAAAACTTCAGAACAAAATTGTTGTACAACCAGTGCATATTGCCAGTGATGACTTATGGATCTAAAACATGGTCCATCACTGCAGGCCGTACCAAGGTCACTCAGCGAACTATGCAGAATATTATGCTTGGGATTTCTCTGCATGATAGACTTTAAAATGAGGATATCCACAGTAGAACCATTGCAACCAACATAGCCCAACAGATTAGTAAGCTGAAGTAGGGCCATATAGTTCGAAAAACTGATAACCGATATGGAAGAAAGGTTCGTAAGTGGTAGCCTCATACCGATAGACGAAGTGTAGGGCAACCCCCTACTAGATGAGGTGACAATTTCGTCATGAAGCATTAGTCATTAAATAAAAGTTATTTCAGATGTATTAGTATCTTTTTTAACATGCTTTTATGTTTGTGTGCATCCATTTATCTATGTAGCGGAATCTTAATGTAATTTTCACTAACCTGTATATGGGCGATTGACTAGAAAATTCGCAGGAATCTAATAACTTTATTATATTTGATAGATAAGCCAGTAACTCAGGACACCATCTTTTATATATATAAGATCATAACATCATGAAACTTCTCCATTAACAGTACTAGTTAAAAAATTACCTGTTATAGCAATTTGTTCTTTATTTTTAGATGTAACCAGAATAGTGACATCGGATAATGTATGACCTGGCGTGGGAATTACTTTTACTGTGTCGTTAATTATGTATTCCTCCCCTATAAAGATTACATTATGTTAGTTTACATAATAAGAAATCATTTCTAGGTCTTAATTTCTTTACCTACCTTTATCAAATGGAAACATAAAGTAATTATCTTTATGAGATATACTGAAGCCAACTATATGTTTTGCTTTCAGGAACAGATTATTATTTCCTATATGATCAGAATGGCCATGAGTTGAAATGACATAGTGTATGTCATCAGGAACAAGGTTATGTTTTTGTAAAGCTGAAACAATATTTTTCTAGAATTTCAATAAAACAAGGAATATTATCTTAAGGACTAATGTTTCTATTGTCATAATATAAAATTTATCCATCAATTGAATTATAACCAGACTGAATATAAAAGTGTAACGATTGAGTTTATTCAAACTATTGTTATTTTTAATTTGTTGATGTTGTATTATATACTATGAATAACTTTTATCTGATTGAAAAGCTGCCATTATTCATGCTTTTCATTAGGACTGCTAAATTGTATAACTGTTTAATTTGCCAACTGTATCCTCTTTAAAAGCTGGATACTGATGCATAATTGGAGCAAACTTTAGATATTTATTATTCATATTCATATATTCACATTGCTTGAATCTTAAAACTCAAAAAAAAACTGCTTCAAACTATGTGAATTTAGAAATTAATAAAATCAATTTTATTCCAAAAATATTACTGAATAATTACAGAATAATTACAGAATATCTACTGTACACTATTCGGATCAACCCAAAAACATGTAATGCTGTAAATTAACTCTTCCAAGTCATTAGTCACTACTTCCCACATTAGATAGTTGAGGCTTCTAAGCCAAATAAAATATTAGGATACTTTTTCAGCAATTTTAAACAGTCAAGTTGAAAATGGAATAAGTAAAGTTATATTCCAAACTAATTAATCAACCGTAAACATGTCTCGTTTATGGTTAATTATTCTTGTTTACGGTTAAAGAGCCGTGGTAGCTCAGATGGTTAACGCTCGCTGTAAAATAGAACGCGAGTAACCTGGGTTCGATTCCCGCCGGCACCAATGAAATTGTTAATTGCAATTTTAAATGCTGATTTACCACTTGCTTGGCGGTGAAGGAAAATGTCGTGAGGAAACCTGCATGTCTGAGGAATAAGAAAAAAAATATTTCGAAGACATGAAGTTCGCCAACACGCATATTGGGGCAGTGCGGTGGACACTTCCTTGCCCTAATACCCTCTCAGAAATGATAGGCTGTAACTTAAATTTTTTAAACATGTCTCGCACTTGGTTTGTAAATGATTTAATTATCATGACATGATTGCTGCAGGAACTCCAAGAATTCCTAAACAGTAATATTAATCCATGAAAATGAAAATACACACAAAATTAAGTAAGATTGTTATTGATGGATTATAATGAGCGATGATGAATGAAACTAAAAAAGTTAGAAACAAATACAAGCGCTACGCCAGCTTTAAATAATTGCATATTATATAATAATATATAATAATTGAAATTAACTGGTAAATATTTATGTTTTTCACACCAACTAAAACTTTTTCAGAGTCCCAAGCTGTCATAGTATCAACAATAACATTATGAAGGCCAGTGATCAACGTGCATGAACAATTAGCGGGCATCTCGTCGTTTTCACCTATCTTTGAGTACCCATCATAGAGCACTATCACTTTACTCATTTTTTAATTTTTTTTTTTTTTGTGTAATTTATCTATTTTTAAAACTCAGGAATGCACAGGAATGAAAAATGCGGTAGTCCGACGTCTCCATATGGCGGGTATGTTCCGAAATACAACGCAGTGTACTGTCCAATGCAAATGACGTACATCTTTTGGGCTACTACATTTGACACTTTATTGTACTAGCGTGCCGCCGCCATATTGTGTCGGATATCCGGCCATAATAAAAAATTTTTTAATTGTGTGTTTGCCGAATGAAGCATGCCAGAATTTGTTTCTATTTATTCAAATACAAAAAATTATAGAATAATTGATGATATATCTATTAGGAGGATATAATGATTTTTGGAGCACAAAATGACAAAATAATCGCCAACACTTTTCCAAATGGAGACGTCAATGTCTCCTTGTTACAGTGTTGCCAGATGCCTTGAACGTTTTATCTGTATTAGAAACTGCTAAAATCTGTATTAAATCTGTATGCCATTTTAATTTAAAATCGTATAAAATCTATATAATCAAATAAACCAAAATAGAATTATTGGTTATCATCATCATTTCTTCTTTTAAAAAACAAGGGATAAAAACTAACGTTATAAGGTTTAATTATCCCTATGAAATGAAAGTATACACATTTTTTTTATATAACAAAATTGAAAACATTAATTTAATCAAACAATATATTAAAAATCAAGCATTTGCAACAAACGAACTAATAATAACTTTATTACTTTCAGTCATACATATTTTTGTTAAATTTCAACAGTAATTTATTTTCAACCACTAGGCTATATAGCAAGGTTTCGCACTAAACAGTTGCTTTTTAAGTAAAAGATCTTCAATATTATTTGTATTAAGTCTATTGCATTGTTTTGTCTTTATTAAATTTATAGATGAAAAGATCTTCTCTACGGCAGCACTGAAATGAGGTAGACTTAAGATTGCAGAAACAAATTTTGACAGCGTAAGATATAATTGATTGCTGTAGTTAGCAGGATCACGGACTGCATTGACTTTACACCAGTAGGTTTGGAGATCTTCTAATTCTTCAGGCGTTAAATCTTTATTATTATGCAAAAACCGCCACTCTGTGTCTAGTTCTTGCAGTTCATCAACTTAGATCAAATTTGGAAACTTTACTACCAAAGTGACCAATGAGTCAATTCTACGAGACTTGACAGCTTGTGGGTCAAGAAACTGTATTTGTTTAAACACATCATTGCTGAAATTGTACCTTTTTTCTACCTGATTTGCCCCTTCAATAAAAAAAAGTCAAGGCATTTAAGTTTGAACGCTTCAATATCTTCTTGGTGAAGAGCGTTTCAACTCGTAGAGACAACAGAGGCTGAAACCTTTGCTGCTAGGTAACGGTCATCTATTGATTTGTATTGACGTGGATTGTTAATTTCAATTAAACCGACTTCATTTCGCGAAACGTATGCCTCGTCCATGTAACATTCCAGTAAAGTTTTAAAAACAGTCACCGTGTTTTCATGCATTTTATGAATTCGTGGTCGCTCTGACTGCATCAGCTTATTCATTTATTAAATATCTCTAGAAACTCCAGAAACTCTTAATTTAGCTTATTATATGGATTTTTTATTTTGAACAATATCGAATCAGCATTCAAGTGGTCCGTAAGAGCGGTTACAGTGATATAATTTTAGTGCGCCATACTGTTCTAGAATACGGCAAACTGCTTCTCTCAGCGAAAGCCGTCGAGTTTGACTTAGATGGAGGATTATATGAGGCTTTAGATCTAAGAACTGCTAAAACTCTTTTAGAATTCCAGTTCCTTTGAGGCTGTTATGAAAATAATTATAAATGTCTCGTATGAGAGTTTTGGGCCCTCTAGACAATTTTAAACAGGCATACGATGCACAGATATGGAAAGAGTGGCATACACACTTCAATACTAACAAGTGAGGGTTATCGGCAACTAGACGGGATGATAATGAATTGTGCTGTCCCATCATGGCATTTGCACCATCAGCGGCAAATCCGATAAGATTTTCCATTGGGATGTTATTGTTACTCAAAACTTTTTAATATGTTGGTATAACTTTTGAGCAGTAGCCTCTTCAAGGGGTATGAGACAAAGATATGCATCCTCAACTTTTCTTTCGAAAAAACGTGCTTACATACATAAATGCTTAACACATTATCTATCTATGCTTTCATCGACGATTAAAGAAAATTTAAATTTTCGTAACTTTTCTATTGTCATTTGTTTTGCAGTTATGCCAGTCACATTTTTTACAATAGCTGTAGTTTTTGGTCTGTCACAACTCACAACTAATACATTTTGCGATTTGTGAACCGGGACACATGTCCCCTCTTTTGATTGTTTCAATATTCTTGTTTGAAAATAAATCTGTCAGTAATATTTGTGAGCTAGATCCACCAGGACTTGAATTTACTTTTGTTAATTTAAAGATACGTTGTAGCATCAATTTAAAGATCTGTGTTACAAAATGTACAAAAGTATACGAAGAATCTTCCATCCAATTCCGATTAAACTTTTGCATCACTCTGGGTTTTTTAGATGCCATAATGGTTCACAAAATCACAACCAATATTAATATTTAATAAAATTTTGTATCTATGTTTTTAAATATTTGCGTATTACCTACACATACACAACACGACGAATGCGAGAGTGAAGTACCTTGGACAGCGCGCAAATATCATTTGGGGATTTCCCGAGCAGAGCGAGTAACACTTGTAATGCTGCCATACTAACTAATTACGTTGTGAAAAAATAAATTAACCATAAATAATAGAATCATGCAATGATATGTCTCTTATTAGTTTGTGGATATGTGTAACGCGGTATCTAATCATATACCTTTCTTCATTTTATTTTAAGTTGAATATTAAGGTAGTTTAATCAATAGCATTAGAAAATTCTGTATAAAAATCTGTATCAAGTGCTAATCTGTATTACAAACCGAAAATCTATATAAATACGGGAAATCTGTATACATAGCAACACTGCCTTGTTAGACCGCGCCAAAGAGTATACTAATATTTAGAGGGACGCCTTAGAACCAAAGAGTATATGATCACTAAGTTTACTCGAAACCATAGATAAGATTATAAATAACATTTAAAAATAATTATATTATTATATAGTCCACATATAAACTTAAAAAATTGGTAATATTAAGTTGCTGATATATATATACACGCTCTACTTAAAAAATTATATGCGTGTTATGATAATAAGTGGAATCTCTATAAATCGAACCTCGTTAAGTTGAAATCCTCAGTAAGTCGAAAAAAATTGGCATTCCCTTCCGATGAACCCCTAAATACGCGGTATCTCGAATTATTAGACTTTGTAACTCGAAGAAAATGTTATTTCCCTACGAAATATTGATAATAGATATTTATATCTACAACTCGAATTTCAAAAATGAGATTCCGTAAGTCATAGTTAGTAAACAATAATGACGTCTTACTTGAAATTCCCCCGAAATAATAGCAATAAAATCCGGGTTCTTAATCATAAAGTAGCTGCCGCGTCACCTGCCAAGCGTCGGCCGAGCTCGGCGGGTGATGCGGCAGCTATGCGTGACATGAAACGTCCTATAACTCAAAAAGTATGAATGTTAGAAAAAAAGTTTCAAACAAAAGTTTTGGAAAATAAACTGATCTTTCAAAATAAATTTATGCATTTTATTGATTAATCTAATATTTCAAGAGTCATTGGCCGCGATAGAAAAACCGGTTCATTAAATGGGCCATAAATAGTAAACGGTAAGTTTAAAAAAAGTTTACTGGAAACAAAAGATGCGAAATTTTATTTTCTACAATAACCGTTGCCTTAAAGTGCATAGTTTCCGAGATACCGGCCTAAAACGTTTTTTCAAGATGGTGCTTGAAGCACCACCTGTTCATAAAATGGACCATAAATCGTAAACGGTACGTTTTAAGTTTAAGAGTTATTGGCCGCGATAGAAAAACCGGTTCATTAAATGGGCCATAAATCGTAAACGGTAAGTTTTACAAAAAAGTTGCTGGAAACAAAAGCTGCGAAATTTTATTTTTTACGATAATTATTTATATAACTTTTGCCTTAAAGTGCATTGTTTCCGAGATATCGGCTGAAAACCTTTTTTCAAGATGGCGCTTGAAGCGCCACCTGTTCATTAAATGGGCCATAAATCGTAAACGGTAAGTTTTACAAAAAAAATTTACTGGAAACAAAAGATGCGAAATTTTATTTTCTACAATAATGGTTTGTATAACTTTTGCCTTACAGTGCATAGTTACCGAAATATCGTCTGAAAAGGTTTTTTCAAGATTGCACTTGAAGCACCACCTGGATCTGTCGGCATTTTTTGATTTTATGCTGAATAAGTGATCCTAAACCTCATAAAAAAAATTGAATCGGAAATTTTGTGCAATGTTAAATTCTATTTTTACTGTACTATTTCATTAAACATTTTATTTGTCAACAACGTCTTACAATCGTTTCTCTAGCGCTCAAATGACCTTCATACAAATAATTCGATATTTTAATTGTTGATAATTTTTATTTTTTGGATAAGAACATGGTAATGACTCTAAGTTATATTTACCTTCATTTAGAAAAATTGTCTTTGGCCAAACCTACCAAACTCTTTGGCTTGACCATAGGTCCATAGACTGACGGATCACGAGTGGTCGCACATATGGTTCACACCTAGTTCACATCCCACCACAAACTAATAAGAGTACTAACGTACATCCCACCAAGCGCCTGCTCCGCGTCGCATCTTCCTCAAACATGTCGAGAATGTGCTCCTTGATGTCGTCGTCGTACATCCTCGGTCTTCCTGAATCTGTACGTTGTTGATCATGGCCATGCACACTGCCAGTATTGTACATACGAATGTGAAGTCATTGGAACGTCATCACCGACGGCAATTGTATATTTCGTGGAGTAGCAAAGCGCT